TTGTAATCCCAGCTACTTAGAAGGTTGAGGCAGGAGGATTGCTTGAGCCCAGGAGGTCGAGGCTGCAATGAGCCGTGATGGTGCCATTGCACTCCAAGTCTGTGCAACAGAACAAGACCCTGTCTCAAAAAAAAAAATTTAACAAAAGGCAAAACATTTTTCTTAACAAACTGTTTCTAATCCGTGTCACAGAGAGATCACTAAGTAAATGCTAGTTAGGAGAGGTAGGTTTGAGTCTAAGTCATACTGGCTGCTTAAGCAAACTGTTCACTCCTCTGGAGCTCATTGGTCTACCTAATATTCTGTGATGGAAGTACACACCATTGCCTGTTTTACCCACAGACCCCAAGAAAAAGTGCCATCCAAACAGTTCTTGATGAATGAGCAGGAACCATATTTATGCTTTATTATCCCACCTCCTGAGACACAGATTGAGGTGAGCACCAGATTCTGGGAAACCTACCCATAGATCCCTCTCAGTGACCCCTGTTGCCACCAAAAGATTTCTGTCAGGAATCTGAAATTTGGAACCAATAAATTATAAAGTGCTAAAGTGGAAACTAAAGATGTAAGGTAATGAGATAAAATTTAAGCTAGAAAGTCCCTTAATAGTCCATATAAAAAACAGTTATGAAAGAGTTAAAATCTAGAATGAGAATGGTGCAGAAACAAGACAGAGAGAAATATCATGACTGAGACTTTCTGGTTCATGTGAGAATGGCCCATAGCCTTTTCGTCTGGTTTTCTGCAGTTCAAATATAGGTTATGTATGGGTTTGTTGTTGTTGTTGTTTATTTATCTTGTTTAGTGTTTGCTGAGGCTTCTGGATCTGTGGTTTGGTGTCTGTCATTAATTCTGGATAGTTTTCAGGCATCATTTGTTCAAACATTTCTTTTTTTCTTTCTTCTCCTTTTAGTAATCCATAGTTGTGTATCTTTGGGAATTTTCCAACAATTCTTGAATGTTCTATTCCATGATTTTTTTTTATCTTGCATTTGAGTTTGTGAATTTCTAATGGCTTACTTTAAGCTCATTGATCTTTTTCCTTGGTCATGTTGAGTCTACTGAGGAACTCATTGAAGGCTTTCTTCATTTTTGCTAGTTTTAGAAATTCCTATCATTTCCTTTTCTTTCATGGAGTCTCCATCTCTCTACTTACATTAGCTATCAGTTGTTGCATGTTGTCTATTTTTCCATTAGATCTCTTAATATATTAATCAGTTATTTTAAATTCCCTGTTTGATAATTCAAACATCTGTGTCATATCTGAGTCTGGTTCTGATGATTGCTTTGTCTCTTCATATTATATATTTTCTTGCCTCTTGGCATAACTTGTAATTTCTTTATTGAAATATATACATGTTATTGGGTAACAAAAACTTAAACAGCTGTTTAGTGTGAGGATGCATATTAGTCTGGCTAGAAGTTGAGCTGTATTTAGTATTTGTGGTAGCTACAGGTACTAGAGTCAAATTCCTCATGTCTTTGTTTTTGTCTTTCCTCTTGATTTGAGGCTTTCCTAAGTACTCCTCCTCAAAGAGTCTGTGTCTGGCAGTTCTTACAACTGTAATCCACTGTTACAATAGCAAGGTTTAATGCAAGGTTTAATGGGGGAGGGTCCCATAATCTTAAAATTAAATATCAGTCTTTTAATTGGTCCTGTGTTTCTGAACTGTGACTTCACAAGTTTTTTTCCAATGATACAGATTCTCCCTACTCCCACTCCATTCTCCATTCACTGGCTACTGAGTTTCTAATCTAGTTGCCCCAAGCCCTGACTCCTGTTGACTATGTTCCCCTGCCCCTTTTAGGTGAGAAAAAACATCAGCTGGGAATGGAGTGGAAGGAATGCCATTATCCCAGCCTGGAAAAAGCTCAGTCTTTTCCCCTGGACAGTAGGCCTATGGGCTTATTACAAAATGATTTCTCTTTTCCTCCTCCTCCCAGAGCCATGAGAGATTTTCTTTTTAATCTCCCCTGTGACAACACTGTTCTTGGAAGTAAAGTCCGTGAAACTGTGGGGATTCCCCCAAGACTGCAATGTCCAGGAGTTTCTCACTTTTACACTAGTCTAAACTCAGTCTCCAGCAATTCTTCAAAATAATCACTTAATTTTTCAAGATAATCTAACAGTTCATGGCTCCAGTGACTTCTGCTCTAGATAAGCAGATCTGAGCTGTGACTGTCTGTGTGCACCTGTCTCCAGATTTCAGTGTGGTGGTTCCCTGTGGGTCCCAAAGTCCGTGATTTTCAGTTTGACCAGCATTTTCCTGTGGTAAGGATGGTGGGAGTGGTGATTTTCAAGTTCTTTATATGTCCGAGTTTAAAATGGAAGTCCTTATTGCCTCCATTCTTAAAGGCTAAATTTTGATTCCTGTCCTTGGATTTTCATGAGATTCTCTATATTTAAAATAAAGCAATTTTTCTCTAGAGTTGGCTTGGGTAGATCAACCACACAATCAAAAGTCCTGTGTCTAAAATGTATTGCTTCCATGAGTCATAGCTTCTTCGACTCTAAAATCTCCTATTAATCAACTAGACATAAAAGAAATAATACAAAAAAGATGCCACGCTTTAACCATTCCTCTTGAAGCTACTGATCCTTGTTTTCAGATGCATCTTCAATGACAGGAAGGGTAAACAGTAATTTAGTATAGGGGGATAAAAGAAAAATATTTTACTTGTAAAACTGGATCAGGGAAGGATATTTCTAATAAGGATGTTATTTATTTCTATGTGTTATTAATATAAGTTCAAAAATGTGACAGCTGACAATATGAACCTCACTTGTGTGTGTTTCAGTGGGTAGAGTTGTCCTTTGAACAACATTGAGGTTGGGGTGCTGAAACCCCATATAGTCAAAAATCCATGTATACCTTTTGACTATGCAAAAAGTTTACTAATAGCTTCCTGTTGATCAGAAGCCTTACTGATTACATCAACAGTTGATTAGTATATATTTTGTATGTGTATTATATATTATATTATTACAATAAAGGTAGCAAAAAGCAAATGTTAAGAAAATCACAAGAGAAAATATATTTATCACTCATTAAGAGGAAGTGGATCATCATGAAGGTCTTCATCCTTGTCATCTTAATGTTGAGTAGGCTGAAGGAGGAAAAAGAGGGGTGGTTGGTCTGGCTATCTCAGGGGTGGCAGAGATGGAAGAAAATCAGCATGTAAATAGACCCACACAGTTCAAATTCATATTGTTCAAGGGTTAACTATATTACCAATAATTCGGTAATTAAACCTTTTCATGAAGACTGAACCTTTTAATATAAGACACCAATCAATAATACATTTATATCTCACTTTATTCCAAAACAGATTCAAGTATCTATGACAGACATCTGTTTTGTCCGCCTGGCATCTGATTTGATTCTGTGACTATCAAACCTCTTATTTTGGGGAACTGATCTTTCCTCAACTCCAATCAATCATAGAACCCATATCCTTGGCCATGGAGATGGACCTACGACCTGTCAGGCAGACCAGCAAGAATGCTCCCCTGAGACTTTTAGAATTAGGTCTATGGAGATAGGGGAAATCCTTCCTGTGGACCTAAGTGCTGCTGTTGCCCTATCTCCAGCTATGTGGAGGAAGCCAGAATAATGAAGTCAATAATACATAGAGGATAAAAGGCAGGGAGAATCCCCAACATTTGTGCCTGTGAAGTTTACTGTACTCCTATACTCTTCTCCTTGTACTATTAGACGAGCCAGTATATTACTCTCTTACCCAAGCTAGTAGATTTCCATCATTTCTAGTTGGGCTAATACAGAAGCTGATGTTAAGGGTTTCTATTTGGTTTGAATGTCTAAAATATTATCCTTAAACATAAGCAAAAAATTCTACTGGAATAAAATACCTTGAGGTGTGTTCTCCACAAAAGCAAAATCAAGGATATTAGATTACAGAAGAAAGACCTTAAAGTTAAAACACTGAGCAGGATCTTACCGTCTGAGTTATGTACAAATTCCTTAACTACTCTATACCACAGATGTTACATATGATTGAAGATAACATCTGCCACTGAACTGTCTTATAGAAAGAATGAGGTTCATAGAGTGCTTTGAGTAACTTGGAAAATGGTAATGGGTTGAATCTAATGTATATAATGCATCACATTTAGAAATGGTGAACTTTGATTAATTTCCTAGTATGCCTGATTCTGAATTTCTCTTTCTGTAAAATGGAGGTGATATCTTTTTTGAGGGGTTGACAGAATTAGCAATGATACCCACATGTGAAGCTGGGAGGTCATGATTCAGCCAAAGGTGATACTACCAGAAAAGGAAGGACAGCCAACAAGCCAGGCATCCTTTGCAGGAGTTGATTTACATTTTGAAAAGTGGGTTTGTGTGGGGAAAACTTTCTGCAGAGGTTGTGTACTTTGGTGCTCAGCAGAAGAGACAGACAGGAGACCTGAGGACAATGAGAAATGGTAGTAGTTGGTTCCTATCCCAGCACAAAGCATTGGCCCTTGTGGGAAGAGAGGCAAGGATGCTGTGCTTTGAAAACACAGCACTATTTTGGCAACTTAAGTGTTTCACAGTTTGGGAACATCTAAGCAAGGCAGCATTCTCCTACAGGAACAGCACCAGTAGAAATAGTAGAGGCCCAACAGAAGCCTGGCACGAGTAGGCTGCACCCAAGAGTGTGAACTTGTTTGTGAATCAGTGAGGAAACCCCTAGGACTTCCAAAAATAGTTGGAGAGAGGACTTTTCAGAAGACCGAGATCCTGCATTCGATGAAATTCTGAGTCAGCAAAATCTGGGTGTAAATGCTAATGTGACTCCGTAAGAGAACATTGATCCTTGAAATAATTGGGTTCCATATATAACAAAATTTGGCATTTAAGTATGAGCCCTATAAATGGCTATGCTGTCATGCTAAGATATTTCTCTGTAAAATTCTATTAAGACCATGCAACAACATGGATAAACCTGGAGGACATTATGTTTAAGGAGATAAGCCAGACACAGAAACACAATTAATGCATGATCCCACTCGTGGAATCTTAAAAAAAAAAGTTTATCTCATAGAGAAGAGAACAGTGGTTACCAGAAACTGGGAAGGGGAGAGCAGAAGGAAGGAAGGGAAGGGGCTCAATGGGTACAAAGTTACAATTAGATAGAAGGCATAGTTCTGGTGTTCTATGGCACAGTAGGGTGACCATGATTCACAACAGTAAGGTACCATATATTACAAAATAGCTAGAAAAAAAGATTTTTAAATGTTCTCACCACAAAGAAATGAAAAATGCGTGAGATGACAGATATGCTAAGTATTCCGATTTGATCATTACACAACATATACATGTATTGAAGCATCGAATTATGCCCACATAAACATGCACAGCTTTGATATGTCAAAAATTATTGTGAAAATTGAAAAAAAAAAAAGAATTCTATCCACATCTCAAGATTGGCCAGGTGGATGTTACAAGCTTTGAGAATGAGGTCATATGATTTCCTCTGTGTTAGTTAAAAGCATAATTATTTAGATTAAGCCTTTGACCTTACTAACAGTAGAATAGTTTACTGACTTACATATGTCCTCACCTTATTCTACCAAGAAGCTGAGAGGGCTAAGGAGAATAAACTGCTTCAAGGCTACTTTTATGCACAAATTTTCAGGGAAGTATTAATAAATTTTGACTCACATCATCTACATTGCTAGTACAGAGTGAAATTTTCTCTAAAACAAAAGCATTCAATATAACTGTTTTTCTGCCACTAATATTTTTGTTATCAAACATACCACAAATGACAAAGCAAATCTATAGAAACTTCATGGAACAAGAACTATCATTAAGTATTCATCTCAAGCGGGATAAAAATGTTCATAAATTTAGTAAATTTTAATTAAAATACTATAGAAAGAAAAACATATGTTGGAGTTTTTCTGATTGTTCCTTTTAAAGTTTTGACATGTTCATCATCTTTGTAGTCTTACCTGAATAACGCTATTGTTTAGAACGTCTACTGTTGGTGCCAGCCTCCACTCTGACACTCTACCTGAATTACAATGGCACCCTAACATATGCCCACTTGGATAAGAATTCAACTTTAGGAGGAGTTTCATAAAGTCTGGCGTAGGAAGCATTTGCATTAACGAAGCCACATTTGCATTTCTCAGGCTTTAGGAGCAGCAAAGCTCCACCATCTGCACAAACGTATAGATCACAGGAGTTACTTCTGTCTTCACAGTTTACTAGTAGTTTACTAGTTTTTAGCAGTAGCATTATGACTTCGATGATGGCAGTCTATCTGGTGAGGACAATGTTTGGATGATTTGCACTGATTTTTCCTGCTTTTTTTTTTGCATCACAGGTTTAGCTACATAAATTATCATACATATGTTGTTCGTTAGCTGCTGTCTTCAGTATACACTGGGCAATAGCTATAAAAGCTTAGGGAAAGCAGGTAAATAGCCATATGATCAAGTGATTATGGAGAGTAAATGCCCTGTTAGGTTGCATTGGGATAGCTAATGCCAGCTATTAAAATAACTCTCATCATTTTAATGAGATTTGATATTTTTTAGCAAAATGTCTGTCAGTTTTGGAGCTCAGGACATTTTTTTCCTACCTACAGAAGTTAATGGTAATTATGTTCTTGACAAGGCAAAGTCAACCTATGAGACTTTTTCAGAATTATCTTTTTAAGATGAATGGATACTGTAATTCATTTAATCCTCATAACAGTTCTAAGAGATAACTACCCTTTATTATCAAATATGTATTTAGCCCTTGTCCTAGGCTGTTCTTTCTATAAAGAAATAGCTGAGACTGGGTAATTTATAAAGAAAAGATGTTTAATTGGTTTATGGTTCTGCAGACTACAGGAAGCTTGGTGCTGGCATCTGCTCAGCTTCTAGGGAGGCCTCAGAAAGCTTACATCATGGCAGAAGGTAAAAGTGGAGCAGGCATGTCATATGATGAAAGTAGGAGCAAGTGAGGGAGTGTCGGGGGGAGGTGCCTCATACTTTTAAATAAACAGATCTAGATCTCATGTGAACCCAGAGCAAAAGCTCACTTACCACCCAAAGGATGGCCCAAGCCATTCATGAGAGATCTGATCTGATACATACACCTCCCGCCAGGCCATACCTCCAAGACTGGGGATTACATTTCAACAGGAGATTTGGGTGGGGACAGATATCCAAACTTCATCAGCACTTATATCCAAGGATTATATGTAATACTAAAATAGTCTTGCTCTGGACAGATACTAATGTCATCCCCATTTAATAGTGAGGAAACTGAGGCACAGAGAAATTAAGTAGCTTGGCGAATCTGAAAATATTAGTCTATTCTGTAGAACACAGAACTGTCACAAATATCTATGTAAAATATTTACACCATCACCTACCAATCGTTGAGTACTAAGCACTTTATAATTTCTAAATTAATTCTTCTAACCCTGTAAAGTAGCTATTATCTTAATTTTAAAGATAAGGAAACTGGTGCATATAAAGAAAAAACTTGCCAAAAATCATATAGCTAGTTAGTGATAGAGCTGAGATCTGACCCCACATGTATCTAAGTCAAAACCTATGCTTTTGACCAAGTCAGAAGTCCAGCACAATATAATCACAGATGGGGAGAGGGAATAGGATTTCCGAGTTGAAAAAGAAGGCTACATTTCATTATTATTATATTACCTCCAGTACGGCAAGTAACAGAAAGAGAGGTGAAAAATCTCTTAGAAATTGGTCTCTATACAATACCCAATGGTACAATGACAACATAAGGAGAAGGGAGTTTTCTAATGATTTTTACGATGACATTTATAACATTTAAAAGTAGTTCAAACTGAGAAGAAATGCTTTTAGCTTTAAAATTAAGGCTAACAAAAGTCCTTCCACCTTTCCTACCTTCTCTATGTGTGTGTGTGTGCTCCAGTGCTACTTACACTGTCCCACATATGGCAGGAGATTTGTTATGTCCTGTAACAGCTTACTCAGGGTAATTATCAAATTCCTTCTCTCAGGTTTCTAAAACCAGTTTTTTTTGTCTGCTGGGTGGCTTAATGGTAGTCCTTTCTAAAATCAGAAAAGTCAACTGGATAACCTTTCCAAGTTTCTCCTAATCCTTGTATGAAATAGCTATGCCAATGGAGTACCAAAAATCTTTCCAAAAAATTTAAAGGGATATTTGTTAAAATAATGCTCAAGAGATTTGATTCCACAGTAGGGTAAGTAACAATGCAAGCTGCTATACTACATAAAATATTCTACAGAGTTCAGAATAGAATATGTTAGAAACTTCTATAAAGGCTTTTTGTGCAGTGGAGAAATTTTATGGTTAGAAACTTTATTCAAATGTACATAATTACAACTACAATTGAATAGTATAAAATATATTCAAAGAATTAACTAGAAAGGGTTCTTCAAAGATAAAACATAAAACATCAATAAAGGATGACGGTAGTAACAAGACCATGGGAGAAAACTGAAATTACATATCAGGTTTGTACGGTTTCAGGTATCCATAACTTTAATGTAATAATGATAGTAAGCAGCATTTCAGTATTGCCTATATACCATGATGATAGTTCAGTAATTCTCCTACATTATCTCATTTAGTCTTCACTAACCTTATAAAGTTATTTACCAGTTTCGTTTTACCAGGGAGGAAATGGAAGCTTAGAGATTAGCTTATATAGCTAATATGTGATTGATTTGGGTTTAAAGTTTAAACCCACATAGTCCAACTACAGAGCCCAAGCTCTTAATCACTGTGCTATGCTTCCTCTATAGGATAAAAGTTGTTCACTGTCAAGAAAAAAGTAGATTTAAAAAATGCTAAAATGAAGTGAAATGGCCAAGGAAGAAGAGAAGCAAAAGCCTTTGGTAGTCTTCAACTGAATAATCCTTGAATCATTCTGACCTCACTTCGTCTTTGGAGGTTTACTCCAATTGGCTACAGATAAAATGGGTCCAAGAATTGGGGATTAATCACCCATTTTATTTGTAGCTGATTTTCCCAGTTCCTTTTGGCTCTCTTACCTATCACACCAGTGGGGGAAGGGTGCCTGCAAATCGAGACAAGCAGACTTCAGAACTGTGTGCACATCATCACATTACTCCAGTTGTTTCATTACGCATGAACGTGGTGATTTCAGAAATTCTTAGAATAATCTGGTACACTAAATGTCAATTATGATTTTCAGCTCATAGCAACCCACTGTGTGTTGTTTTGGCTTCAAGGACTCCAAAAATATGGCCATTCTTGTTTACATCTTCTCTGGAATTTCAGATAATATGGAATCAAAGTAAGCATTTTAAAGTGCAAGGTATTTTCTGCTCTCTTCAGCTTTCTCTGCTCTTGACTAAGAAGAAGAAACTACCCTACAGGCCATCATGACAGGGTATAAGAAGAGAAAGAAACAGAAATCAGTAGCATACAACAGGTACCTTATAAATACTGCCTGACTGTCTAAACTTTCCCATTCATATCTAACTTCCTTCAAGTTTTCAAGCACAGCTCACAATCAGAGAAGAGCACCATAAAATAATTACTGAAAATGTAAGCATATAAGTGATTTTTCTATAAAATAATTTATGAAATAATATGTAACATTATTACATGGAATGAATTTTATTAATCTCCGCTTTTAAAAGCTTTTAACAAGAAGTCTGCTGCTAGTCCTGGGGACAGGGCCCCAGTGAGAACCTTGTGTTCCAGAAGTGGAATCTGTTCCTGGACTGTGGGATGGGTCCTGAAATGCTCTAACACGCTTTCCTGAATGAGATTCCACATCCAAACTTTCTGTTGCTTCTGTCGTTTGGCAGTTAGTTCCCCACTGGCAAGCATTACGCCCTGGAAATCTTTCATTTTATCCCACATTTCAGAGATTCCCTCTCCACTTCTGGCCGAAATACGAATTACCTATTGAAAAGGGAAGAACCAGACCATTTTACTTAAAATAATAGAAAACATTTTCTTGGAGACTCTGATATCTGCCAGTTAATTCTTACAGTCTACAGAAATAGGCAATTGACATGAATGAGATTTTATTGCTGTGTCAAAGTAAATATACCAATATATATTCTGAGGTAATATACCTAGGATTAGTAAGCGCACAGCAGAAATAAAACACTGATTCAAGGTCAAATTTTTAGCCCAGAGATTTATTTATTTTTTCTTTTGAGATGGAGTTTCGCTCTTGTTGCCCAGGCTGGAGTGCAATGGTGTGACCATGGCTCACTGCAACCTCTGCCTCCAGGGTTCAAGCGATTCTCCTGCCTCAGTCTCCCAAGAAGCTGGGATTACATGCATGTACCATCACGCCCAGCTAATTATGTATTTTTAGTAGAGATGAGGTTTCTCCACGTTGGTCAGACTGGTCTCGGACTCCCAACTTCAGGTGATCTGCCTGCCTCAGCCTCCCAAAACGCTGGGATTACAGGTGTGAGCCACCATGCCCTGCTGAGATTTGTTTTAATTTAGGATTCCTCAGATGGTCAGGGGCATCATAGAGGACTTGTGATAAGGGCAATGCCAGGTAAGTTCCCCTGAGGCCTGAGTGCCAAAAAATGAAGCTAGGTTGAGAAATAGCCTAATTCTCTTTGTCAAATTTGCCCAATTTAGCAAGTGGAAGAGTGGGCATCTGACACCTGCATGTATATCTAAGGTGGCTCCAGATTCAATGCAGACAACATGATTGGGAAAAACTGGGATATGATAGTAAGTCATCATTGTCTTATTATAATGATTACAGTTTATTCCTTAATAACATAGTGTCTGTCCACAAATAAAGTGGCCCACATCAATATTACTGCATCACTTATTACAGGATTAAAATTTTTTTCCTTACTGAAAATGGCACCCAACAAACATAATGGGAATGGAGGCCTTTTCTCTTACTCAAATTCCAATATAGATAATCAAATCATTAGCTGCTCCATAACTTAAGGATGGTTCTTTCAGAATGGATTTGCTATCACTTTCGAATGGCTCAAATCAAGTATTAAACAATCAAATCTATCACCTCTTATCTAGCTTTTGACATCTAGTGGTTAAAGGATTATATTTCAAATCATCACTACACACTCTGGCTTTGTCATGATTTTTAAAACTATAATCTTCACACAGAAGCAAGATTGATTATATGTCTAGTTTGGGACTTACATCCTGTCTTCTAATGTACACAATCCACTCAGAGTGAAAGATACAGAATGCAGTGCAAGCTTACCTTTGGTTTCCAGACTTCTGAACGTTTGCGGAGTAATTTTAGTGCACTCACATACTCTGCTTGTATTCTTCGAGCTGGCACAATCAAGTCTCCATCAGATTTAGTTATAGCTACCAGATCTGCCATCTCGATTATACCTCTTTTGATACCCTAAAGAGATCAAAAACATTTAATGATGGCCAAAATAAAAATGGGGAAATTGGTCAATGCTAAGATTTTGAAAGTCATATATATCATTAACTTTTTATCCGTATCCTCCTAAGCCCTGGATGTCAAGACACAATTACTTGACAGAAATTACTCAAAAGCATTGGCCATTGGGATTATAGGAGTCATGTGTAATATCTCTTCCAAATTTAGGGTAAATACATCAAGCCACAACATGATTGAGGCAGGAGAGTTCACATTGTCTCATGATGGAATCTGCTCATGAGCTAACATTGCAGGATGCAAAACCATCCATCATTAAGGTTCTTAAAAAGAAAACACACCTATCATTAACATCTGCATTTCCAGAAAAAAGTCTTTGAAATTTTCCTTAAAATTAGGATTTTATTTTCAATTTGCATTTGAGGCAAAATAATCTGATGTCTAAAAATATTCAATATCTTTTTTATTATTTCTTTTCATACTTTGTATTTTTCTTCCTTCAGCTTTACATGGACAAACCTCAATCTCTTAATTCAAATTATGTTACATAAAAATATTAGAAATAAAGGATGAAATCCAAAAGCCAAATCTTCTTTGGTAAATACAGACTTTTCTATATAAGATTAAAATTTATTTTTGAATATTTTTTAATAAAACTTTCAATTATGAAATTCTAATAGATGTTTCTAAATCAGCAGCCATAGTCTGCTATCACTATGCTTTAGAATTACAAAATTGAAATGGATATACTGTATAACAAATAATTTGTCTGGGCTAGGTGTGGTGACTCACACCAGCAATCCCAGCAGTTTAGGAGGCTGAGGCAGAAGGAATGCCTGAGGTCAAGAGTTCAAGACCAACTTGGGCAACAAAGCAAGACCTCATCTGGAGAAAAAAAAAATTTTAAATTAGCTGAGAGTAGTTGCACATGGCTGTAGTCCCAGCTACTTGGGAGGCTGAGGCAGGAGGATAGCTTGAGCTTAGGAGTTCAAGGTTACAGTGAGCTATGATCATGCCGTTGCACTCCAGCCTGGGCAACAGAGTGAGGCCCTGTCTCTAAAAAAAAAAGAAAAAATTTATCTAGTCTTTGGGTTTCTGGGAGGTAATCTTTTTTTTTTTTTTTTTTTTTTTTTTTTTAACTACACCTTCATTTGTCTAAGAGAAAGCAGGGAGGTAATCTTTTAAGTTCTAAATTCCTAGAATTTCCTGAATAACTGGAGTGTCTGTTATTCATGGGAGGTGCCTGGGGCCATACCTGAGTTTATACAATGAGATCATTCCGGATGGCAGGCTGACCATGGCAGAAAGACCTATCATGTAATTAGAGGGTTGAGGTTTTATGCCATGTGATATCAACCCAACTTCCAGGGAGGGGACAGGGGCTAGAGATCAAGTTCAGTTATTCAATCAGTCATGCCTATATAATGAAACCGCAATAAAACCTTGGGACATCAAAGCTCAGGAAGTCTTCTGGTTGATGACACACATCAATATGCCAGGAGAGAAATATGTCCTGAGGACACAGAAGCTTTGCATTTGGGCCCTCCCAGACTTCTTAGTGGCTCTTCATTTGGATGATCCTGATTTGTATCCTTTACAAGCATGCTACAATTGTAATATCTTGCTTTCCTGAGTTCTCTGAGTCATTTAGCTCAGAGGTCCCCAATCCCCAAGCCATGGAGGAACTGAGCCTCACAGCAGGCAGGCAGTAGGTGGGTGAGCATTACTACCTGAGCTCTGCCCCGGGAAATCAACAGTGACATTAGATTCTCATTAGAGTGCAAACCCTATTGTGTACTACACATGCTAGAGATCTAGGATATGTACTTCTTATGAGAATCTAATTGATGCCTGATGATCTGAGGTGGAATAGTTTCATCCTGAAACCATCCCCCATTACCCCCAGTCCAGCCGTGGAAAAACTGTCTTCCATGAAACCAGTCCCTGGTGCCAAAAATGTTAGGGACTGCTGCTCTAATGAATTACTAAACCTAAGGGGCAATGGGAACCCTAAAATTTATAGGCAGTTGGTTAGAGGTACGGGTGGCCTGGGAAGCCTGGATCCTGCAGCTAGTGTCTGAAGTGAAAGGAGGCTTGTGGAGGACTATGTCCTCACCCTAGGAAGTCTGCACTAACTTTGGGTAGTAGTGCCAGAACTGCAGTGCAGGAGGAGAGTAAGAATCCTGTTGTTACAACATATAAACTAGGATAGTGGGATCCCAGTTATAGCTTATGAAGAACTTTTGAATCAAGTAACAACATCTATGCAACAATGGTCTCTTCTGGCTCGAACTATCCCTGTATTTCAGTCATGTTGCAGATGGAAAAAATTATGCTGTATAATTTTACATTCTCAAGGTTATATAGTCTATTCCTGTAAGTTGGGAAAAAATACAGAGAATCTGCCTTTGATTCAGGTATTTTAGCCAATATGAATAATGCTCCTTTTTCTAAAGCATTATCAACTAGTTTACAAAAACACAACATTGGAAATTTTTATTTTCAGAGACAAACACTTTGTATTTTTGGGGGAAAAAAATCCAAATAATTACCTGCAACTCATCTCCTCCTGCTGGTGGCAGTAGTAAAACAAACATGTCAACCATGTCAGCGACAGCAAACTCCGACTGACCCACACCTGAAATTTTAAATCACAACTATATCCTAAAATATTCACCTTTATTAGATTTTCTCAACTACACTGACCATCATTTTCATTCTACTTCATTCACTCATACTAACAGTCACACAATCAACCTGGTCACCACTTTAAACATTCCACTTCTGAAGAAATGTATTAAATGTCTCTATCTTACCCTCTAAGCAAACCAGTTATCCTTCCCAGCTCTCCCCCTCTGTTCTTGGATTGAATGGAGAACCTAGAAGCTTCCATCCTCTCCTCACTCTCACAGCTCTTTCTTGGCTTCCCTTTCATCGGCGAGCAGCTTGAACACTGTGACTCAAATCTTGAATCATGCTTGCAAACACTTTCATCTTTTTTCCCTTCTTGTCCTCATACTTGCCTGCAAACGCCCAATTATGTATGGATCAATCCAACTATGTGTGCTCTTTCCCCCATAAGCACGTGAGAGAACTTGCTCAACTCTGTGGACAAGAGACACTACAGGCAGCCTCTGTTGCATCTTCCTTGCTGCCTGGCAAAAGCAATCTCCCTAAACGCCCTCAGCTGGCCTCCATTCCATTTCCCACAGTATTCACTGTCCCATAAACTCCCTGCTTGAAGAGGACCACATCACCTATTTCACAGAGGAAATAAAGGCAAGAACTTCCTCACCACCTCCCTCTCTGGGACTCCACAGGTAACAAGACACAAATACAAACTCAGCCTTACTGCCTCATCTGCAGTCTCAGTGTAAGAACTATCGACTGAAAAGGAACCTCTCATTCCTTTCCACTTCCTCTGGGTTCTTGCTGATTTTTTTTTTTTTTTTTGAGAGGGAGTTTCGCTCCTGTTACCCAGGCTGGAGTGCAATGGCGCAATCTCAGCTCACTGCGACCTCCGCCTCCTGGGTTCAGGCAATTCTCCTGCCTCAGCATCCTGAGTAGCTGGGATTACAGGCACGCGCCACCATGCCCAGCTAATTTTTTGTATTTTTAGTAGAGACGGGGTTTCACCATGTTGACCAGGATGGTCTCAATCTCTTGACCTCGAGATCCACCCGCCTCAGCCTCCCAAAGTGCTGGGATTACAGGCTTGAGCCACCGCGCCCGGCCTCTTGCTGATTTTTATCTTAACCTCTCCTTTGTTTACAGGCTCTTGCCCCCCAGCACAATACATAAATTGTGCTCAAATCTTTCTCATCTTAAAACCACAGAAAACAAAACACCATCAACGAAATAACAAGACAAAAAAACTCACAAAATCCTCCAACTATCACCATGTTTCTCACTTTTTTTATACTCAAGTTTCTGGAAAAAGGGAATTTATGCTCACTGCTTCCACTTCACTTCATGTTCACATCTCACCCCACTTAAAACTGCTTTCCAGCCTGGGTGATGTAGTGAGACCCTGTCTCTACAAAAAGTATAAGAATTAGCTGGGCATGGTGGTGTGCCTGTAGTCCCAGCTACTTGGGAAGCTGAAGTGGAAGGACAGTTTGAACCTGAGGGTGGGAGGCTAAGGTTGCAGTGAGCTGTGACTGCACTGCTGCACTCCCACCTGGGCAACATGATGATACTCCATCTCACAAAAAAAACTTGCTTCCACTAAAATTCTGGAAACTCTCTCCCTTTCTTGGTGTGATGGACTTAGAGTTGCATATTTAATATCTATTCTTCCCCATTTTCTTACCCCAATGTTATTAGGAGTATCAATGCATCAGATTAAAGACCACGTTCACAAGATCCTCTTTCAGCTAGATGTGATGAATAAGTCAAAGCAAAAGTCATTAGATGGGGTTTCCAGAAAAGTGTGTTAAAGATGGCTAATCTAGCTATACCTCTTCTGCCACCCATCTGCTTCCTTATTTCCCTTACCTTCTTCCTTCTGTGTGGAATGTGAAAGTGTCAGAGCTCTATCAGCCATCTTTTAAGCATGAGCAAACTGGAGGACAGAAACTGAGTGCTAAGAACGGTGAGCAGGCAGACAAAAGAAACCTGTGACGCTGAGGGCTCTGTCAAAGCACCACACCTACTCTGGGCTGCCTGCCTCTAGCTCCTTTTTGATTTTGCTTCTTGCTCTGTTGCCCAGGCTAGAGTGCAATGGCATGATCATGGCTCACTGCAGCCTTGAACTCCTGGGCTCAAGCCATCCTTTTGCCTCAGCCTCCTGAGTAGCTGGAACTACAGCTGTGTAACACAATGCCTGGCTATTTTTTTTTCGGTAGAGCTGAGGTCTTGCTATGCTGCCCAGGCTGGTCTCAAACTCCTGGGCTCGAGCAATCCTTGGCCTCCTGAAGTGCTGGAACTACAGGTGTGAGCCACCATGCCTGGCCTCAGGCTTCTTTGATTTTATTTTATGAGACAAAGGCTTACTCTGTCACCCTGGCTGGAGTGCCATGGTGCCATTACAGCTCGCTGCAGCCTCGAACTTCCCAGGCTCAGGTGATCCTTCCACCTCAGCCTGCTAAGTAGCTGGGATTACAGGTACACGCTACCATGCCTAGCTAATTTTTTAAATATTTTTCTGTAGAGACGGGGTTTTACCATCTTGCCCAGTCAGGTCTGGAACTCCTCGACTCAAGCAGTCTGCCTGTGTTGGTCTTCAAGTGTTGGGATTACAGGCTGCGGCCACAATGCCTGGTTTAGGACTTTTTTATTTAGAAAATAACCTCTTTCTTGTTTGAGTCACTGTTATTTTGAGTTTCTGGGAAAAGTAGCTAACTACAATTTCCAGGTAAAATATGTGGTTTTTAAGGTGCTCTTCTTCTTTGATTCTCTTAATACCACTCAGGCCACTAACTCTTCTTTGACCTACTCTTTAATGGTGCAGTTTCTAAAGCCCTGTCATGGCTATTGTTATGAACTGACTTGTGTTTCCCTCATCTAAAAATTTTCCTATGTTAAAGTTCTTGAAACAGATAGGGCCTTGAAAGAAGCAATTAAGGTTAAATGAAGTCATAAGGGTAGGGCCTTAATCCAATAGGACTGGTGTTCTCAAAAGGACAGGAAGAGACACTAAGAGTAGAGACAAGGGAAAGTAAAGTGAAGATGCAGCAGAAAGGCAGCCATCTATCTGCAAGACAAAGGGAGAGGTCTTAGGAAAAACCAGCCCTACAGGCGCCTTGATCTTGAACTTCCATCTCCAGAACTGTGAGAAAATACATCTCTGTTGTTTAAGCCACCCAGTCTGTGGTATTTTGTTATGGCAGTCCTAGCAGATTAATATAACTATCTTCCATTTTTGTCTCATATTTTCCCGTTTATCTAAACCAAATTCTTAAAATATGAAACTATGAACTATGCTGGTAACTGTTAAGTCTGTATTTCTCATTCAGTCCTTTTCTCTTGAGACACACAGTCACTCGGACACCTAATAAGCATTTCACACTTAATATATAAACAACTGAGCTGATTGTTTTCCTCTCTGCAAATCTACTTTTTCCACAGTATTCTCTATCATCTACAATGCTCCTTCCTTCCTTATCTCACATCTTATTATAGATGAAATCCTGCCCGTTTATCTTTAATGTTTTGTTGATCCATCTCATCTCCATTCCCACTTCCACTTGGTTCAGACATTTACCATCCCCTTCTGGGATAAGTACAGTAGTCTCCTTATTCAACTCTGGTCCTCCTTCTAACCATTCTATACTCTGCTGCCACGGATCTCTCCAAAATACATATCTGATTTTCTCACTCTCCCACTTTTCCAGCAGCATCTTCCCACTCCTTTCATGGCAAACTCTAGAAGACTCCTTGGGATGGCATGTAAGGTCCCTGACAATCTGGCCTGGCCTACTGCTCCAGCTGATGTCCCTTCACTCCCTGCTTTCACACCCCATGCTCTCAGTATCCTGAGCAAACTGCACTTCTCTGGATGTGCCATGTTTTCTCACTCCCACGTATCTTTACAAATGCCCTTTATCCCATATTTTGTTTAACTCCAATTCTTCCTTCAAAACTGAGTTCAGCTGTCACCTCCTCTAGGAAGTCTTCACTGGGTCCCCACATCTGAGTTAGGCTGTATCACATTTATCACACAGTAATATAATAGACTGTCTCTCCACAAGAATGAATTTCTTGGGGTTTTCATTTCAGTATCTCCATTGCATGTAAGTATAAGCTAAGGATATAAAACAATAAAATAAAACATATCTGCATTTTCAAAAGGCAGCCAATTGCATTAATTTTCTTTCTTTCTTTTTTTTTGAGACAGAGTCTCACTCCATCACCGGGTGCCAGGCTGGAGTGCAGTGGCGTGACCTCGGCTCACTGCAACCACCGCCTCCTGGGTTCAAGCAATTCTCCTGCCTCAGCCTCCTGAGTAGCTGGGACTACAGGCACACGCCACCACACCCAGTTATTTTTTTTGTATTTTTAGTAGAGACGGGGTTTCACCATATTGGCCAGGATGGTCTCGATCTCTTGACCTCGTGATCCGCCTGCCTCAGCATCCCAAAGTGCTGGGATTACAGGCATGAGCCACCGTGCCCGGCCTACATTAATTTTCTTAGTGAACATAATAGACATATGAAATGTACTTAAACAAAATAGGTGCTGTGCTAAAGCATCATTTACACAAGTCATCCTAATGCTTACAGTTCTCCTCTGGCATGTATAACATACCACCTGTATAACAGTTATCCAGATAGATGGTTTACTTTTACTTTTTAAATGGTAAGATCTTTGAGGGTAAGGATTATAAACTATACATTCATATCTTCTATGGAGTATGGGATATCTTGTATTTAATTATACATTTAGCAAATACCTGCTGAATGAACAAAAATAAGTGGTCACTCATCTTTATATAGCATTCACAAAACAGTATATTGTTGTTATGAAATAGAATATCACACTCACCTACGGTTTCAATAAGAATTATGTCATATCCCGCTCCTTCACACAACAGAATAGCTTCATTTGTAGTCCTTGTCACACCTCCTAAAGTTCCTCTAGTAGGAGATGGCCTGATGTATGCATTCATATCTCTTGATAATTCAGTCATTCGGGTTTTATCACCTAAGAGTGATCCTGAAACACACAGCTACATTTTATAATTGTAGAACAGTTTTGCGGGTCAATTATCAGCCAGTTTCTAGAGGCTTCGTGCCATTTCTCCCTAAATCTCAAACTGCATTTCATATTACTGAGCTTCCCTCCAACTCATTGTATATAATGAGGTCAGATTAATCTTAACATTTCAAGCCCTTCAAAACCTATCATTTATGGCTTCCCACCGACAAAAGGTTCCCATCTAGATTCTTTAGCTGCATCTTACCTGTCCAATTCTGGCTTCTACTAGTCCCCACACCAATCCTCTGTTCCAACCAGGGAGATTAATGTTATCTTAACATCACTGTGTTTGCTTCTTCCCATCTTTTGTTTGTTCTCTCATGCCAGAAGTATCTCTTGGTTTCCTCACTGCTAAGTTACAGTGTGTTAAGCCCAAGGTCTGTAATCTGGCTCCACCATTTCATACTATCCAATTTTGAGAGGTCACTTTACCTTCCTGAACCCTTCTTTCCTCAGCTACATCACAAGGGTAATGTGCTACTGGGAGAATCCTATACTTATTTGGAGGATTTTTTACAGGAATTACAGAATTCCTGTAATTATTTACAGGAATGTGCTTCAAAAACCATTAATAACAAAAACATAGAACTTATCCACCTTATAAAGATCAGTAAAAGTCCTTGTACAGTCTGCCTGGAACCTTTTCAGTCCATGCCCATCTCTGTGAATTTCTATGGTACAACAGCTCTGAAATGTACGCCAGCATCCTGGAGGGCATAAGAGAAGTTTAGTGTCCCTCCTATTTCTATTATCTACATGAGCACCCTCCACTCCTCATTCTTTTATTTTTACAAATGACATTTTCTCAACCTTATGTAAGTGCTACGCAAATATATCTTCAAGCTGCCCCTTCTGTCCAGTCTGTTGCTTCTAATCGCCTACTACTTAGAAAATTTGGAGCTCTCACTGAATGCAATGTAAGCTAAGTTAATGGATGGAAAACTATTCATACAACACTTTTTTTTTGGGTTTCATATCTTCTCTCTTTCACACAGTGGTTCTCAACTGGGGGCAATTTGGCAATGCCTAGGGACACAGTTGCTTGTCACAAGTGAGGGGTAGGGTGCTACTGGCACCTACTGGGTAGAGGCCAAATATGCTGCTAAGTAAGCATCTTTCAATGCACAGGACAGCCACCCACAACAAAGAATGATCTGACACGAAATGTCACTACTGCCAAGGTTGAGAAACCGTGCTTTAGTGTAAGTCTTTGCTTACAGGACCATGTCTTACATATGTTTTACACTAAGTGCTTAACAAAGTGTTAAGAGTAGGCACTCAATAACTGTGGAATGAAACTGGTTATGTTTTTGTGTTCACTGTAGTATAATATTTTGACAAACATCAATACTTACAAATTCCAGAAGACTGAAAGTCCCAGGACTACTGTTACCTTCTACTATTTTGCTTTAGTCATATAATAACATTTGTAGGTATACTGCTGTTCTAATCTGAGTGTTTATTTTCCCTCTTTTTAAGAGCTACTTTTTCTTCGTGGTATTAAAGATTGAAAAGTTTCTTAAAGATATGCTCTTTTACCACTAAATGCCAGTTCAGAGTGTTCTGATGGGTTCCAATTCTTCCTTATTTACTTCACATACAACCTTTTTCTAAAGTAATTTTCCACATGAAATAATTTCTGTGTAAGTAAACAACTTGCCAAAGCTTTACTTTAAATTACTATCCTATAGATCCCATCACACTGAAGTCAACATTACAAAACTACTCTCCCATGTCTTAGCCAGCAATTCCAAAACTGTTCATTGCAGAACCTCAGGAAGATCTCAAAGCTATCACAGGGGTTCTGTGAATTCGAAGCACAAAAAAGATTGAGCTTACACCAAAAAACTAATGCTTCTTAAACTTTAATGTAATGCTATTTTTCAAGTGTATGTATGTACTGATGCAATAAGGTAGAAATTTATAGTGTTTAGTCTATCATTGTATTTTTCTCTTTCAAAGTCTATATGATTTTTTGCCTTAGAAAGGGATCCTTATTTTCTGAGAAAGGTTAGGAACTACATAGCCATGTAACTTTAATCACAGAATGTTTTATGACATTATTTTCCTCTATTATTATCTCAAGCTATTATTTTCTTTTTCTATTGTAAGTATTTAGAATGTTGTGAAAATGGGGGAATGGCCTTCTCACCTATATACAAATGAGGGCCACTTATTTAAAAATCCTTTAAGTACATACTTTTAACAAAGTTCTAAAGCTGTAAATAAATTATACAACACATTGACATGGATTTAATTCTGAACCTTGTGAGCAAAAATTTTATTTTACAGTTAACTTTTTTCATTATAGTGACTCAAAAATTTTGGAAGTTCTGAGCTAGATTTCTCAATGGATAGGAACAGGAATCTTCCACATCTATATTAACCCAAGTCCCTAAAATATAGTTACATCACCATTCTGAATTTTAGTATTAAACCTGCATTATTACAGAGTATAGAAAAAACAAATACTTCCATAAAGCATCTTGTATTTACCCCTTCACAACACACCTTATATTGTAATGGCCTGTGTTTGTGTTTCCTGTGTAAGACAAATGCTCCCTAAGGTCAGGACTCTATCTTGTTCACCATTATGTAACACAGTTTAAGAACCTTCCATGTACAATGCCTCACCTATAGAAGGCACTCAAATACTTGTTAAGTAAGTAACTGTAATATGAAAAGCTGAAATCATAAAGAGGGGTAAGGGAAGAAAAAAACCTTTCCTGAGTATTTATATTGTATGCTTTCTGTTTTCTTTAAATGATCTTTTGCAAAACAGTTTATATTCATTTTATCTCTGATGAGCTGCAAATTAAACTTTGAGTGACTGCATGACCTCAAATCAGAAAGTATTTGTTGAACACTCTGTGAAGCACAATGTACTATGCTAAATGCTGTAAGGGGAACTGCAGTATATTACAGTGCCCCTCTAAGAGCTTTCTGTTTAACTGAACATATTATGTAAACAGTTGACAATTATATACAACAGTAAGGTTTTTTTTAAAAAGCTTAAGAGATGTTAAAACATTATGAGGAAAATGATGAATGAGTAAGGACCTATTTTTCTGAATTGTACAGGTACTAATGCAGCCAGGGGGGAAAAAAAACCAGGAGCAAAGAGGGGCCTGGCCTTGTGCATGGGAGCCAAAGGACTGAAATTTCCATTTGATCATCTTCAACTTCTGGCACCTGTTACTGCAGTTTTCTGAGTACCTGCTGAGCTATCCACAAGCTGGCCTCCTCTGAAGAGTACAACGCTCCCAAACTAGTTCCCTCAGCTCCCACCTAACTACAGAACTCCCTTCCTTCAGCGAGACCAAACTTAGCTAGTACTTAGAGGTCTCCCAACTGTGCCAATTCCTACTAAATTGTAAGAGAGAGCTCCCAGAGCCCTGCAATTTAAAAAGAATCAACCATACTTACCACCACTAGTACAAGAAGAAGGGTCCACAGCCAGCACAGATAATTTGTGCCCTCTCTCAGTAAGCATTTTTCCAAAATATTCTATAAATGTTGATTTTCCAGCACCCGGGGGCCCAGACAATCCTATGATAGAAAGAGATCTTCTAATTCAATGAAACAAATGAAATCGGAACTATGATCAGTTTTACTGAGTAAAATATTAGACTGCCTTCCCCTAATGTATTAAAATCTCAATTATATTTCAACATGCCCTAAAACGGCAAAAAAATGTTTCTTTATCTAATTCCTGAGTAATGGAGATATACAAAGGAAACACTCTGGGTTCCACATGATCACAAGATTCACTTTTAAAAATTACAAAGCATGTTTTGCCTTTGTACTATAATCTAGATCTTCCTGGACAGGCTTCATTGTCTCCATTGTTAATGTGCTCAATTTCTACATCTGCCCATCTCTCACCATGATCAGTAATTATTCTACCTGCCTCAGTTCTGTACACTTCTTCCCACTGGTAAAACAACTCATTATTCTAGAAATTCCCAGTGATTAAGAAAACAATTTTCTATTTATAAAGGATCATCGTTTTTCTTCATCCCATTCATAACTCAAAGAATATAAACTGAATCCTGAAAAAAATAATTTATGTTAAGAAAAGCAGAAAACTCTCCTACTTAGAGAGTGGACCAGTACCTGGCAGGTAAGAGCACATACCCTGAAGCCACACAGCCAGTTCTCACTCTAACTCTGCCTCTTACGAGCTGTGTGATCTTGGGTAAGTTACTTAACCTCCTTCTATACCTCAGTGTCCACTGCAATAAAATAGATATAGTAATAGTACCTCTCTCTTCAGGTTGTTTTAAGAATTGAGTTAATGTCTGCAATGTTTAGAACAGTGTATGGCGTAAGAGATATCTAAGTGTATATTCAATGCAATACATAAAACATAGGCATTTAACTAACTACACTCAAAGTATGTATAGTGTTACGGTATGCCTGACTCCCTACCACAATTCTTAGGGCAGATCTAATCCCTATCTTAAACACCTTTTTAGGTGCTGAATAAACATTTGTTGCTTTTACTTATGATGGTGAAAACATAACTGCAATAAAAACACAGGTTCATCTGGCCTCAGAAGATCAAGATGGAAGAACCAGAATAGCACTACAAAGTTATGTGTGAACTGCTAGTTAATTCCAGATATTTCTCGGACATTTTCTCAAAGATTCTCTAAAACCTAGTAAGTAGGCACTTTGTCATAACAAGAATTTCTCTGTGGGAGTTTGCTATTATCTTTGTCTACCATACACAAAGATTATTAACATCCAAAGTAGTGCTCTCAAAATGAAAATCCCTCAGTGAGGGCAGAAGATTAAGAAGCTTGAAAAATGGGGACCAGTATAAATACTGGTTGGTGAGCTATTTTGAAGTATCTTTAAAGCATTTTATGACCATTACCCTAGAAACTAGAAGGCTTTCATCTCTGCATTGCCAATACACTGTGAGATAAAAGTGTAATGTAACATTAAATTTAAAAAGTATTTACTCTTTCACCACAAAATTTTTGCACTTTAACCACCAAACCAAGTTGCTTTTAGCAGGACAGTTGGGTCAAATCACTTAGTTCACCACCATGGGACATTCTCATTCCATCCTAATTCCATCCTAACTGCCTTGGTTGATTCCTGCTAGTCAAACATATCCAAACTGTTTTACAATGCACAATTTCAAAACCAAGTCACATTATTCAAGAAATCAAATGAACATCTAATAGACAGAAAACAAATAAATATGATCTCTTTTTTAAAGTACATTTTGATAGGCTGGGCATGGTAGCCCATGCCTGTAATCCCAGCACTTTGGTAGGCAAAGGTGGAAGGACCGCTTGAAACCAGGAGTTCGAGACCAGCCTGGGCAACATAATGAGACCCCATCTCTAGGAAAAATTTTTCAAAAAATTAGCCAAGCATTATGTTGGAGGCATGATGTTGTAGGTGAGCACGATGTTGGAGCTGTGATCATCACTGCACTCCAGCCTGCGTGACAGAGTGAGACTCCATCTCTAAAAATAAAATAGCTGGGTGCAGTGGCTCACGCCTGTACTCCCAGCACTTTGGGAGGCGGAGGGAGGTGGATCATTTGAGGTCAGGCGTTCAAGAGCAGCCTGGCCAACATGATGAAACCCGTCTCTACTAAAAATACAAAAATTAGTGTGGTAGTGCACGCCTGTAATCCCTACTACTTGGGAGGCTGAGGCAGAAGAACTGTATGAACCCAGGAGCCAAGATCGCACACTGCCCTCCTGCCTGGGCAACAGAGTGAACTGACTCAAAAAATAATAATTAAAAAAAAAATACATTTTGGTATTGAGATGACTGTATTTACAGCCACACCCAGAAACTCAATAAAAAGTACCTGAAAGAAGCGAGACTTGTCTATACAAAGACTGTAAAATACCTAAGAGGCAGAATTTTGAAATGTGATAATTATAGTTGATACAACAATAAAACAGGGAATTAACTTTAGACTATTAGCAGAAGGACTACCAGAAGAAAAAGGTGTAAAGTCACTAATAGTTCTTCCTATGAATATTTCTATCCTGGGATCCAAAGCAAGATTCTTGCCAAAATAAAAATCTTTTATTATTTTCTTAAAATACATAGCCTTGGTTCAAATGGTCATGGCAATTTTTTCAACTTAACTAACATTTGCCATGAAAAGTCATTTAAAATTCATCCAAATATGTGAAAAATGTCCCCATTCAATTGCAAACTATTTAGACTTCTTTTAAAAACAGAATACAGAGAATGTAAAAATATCTGCTGAAAAAACACACAAAAAAGACTGACCTACTCGAAATGCTAGTGGTTTTCCTTCATTTGATTGTTCTTGTTTTCTGTGGTAAAGTAATACTTTCTGAAGAAGCACCTGGGCTAACTCCTTTTTCCTGCTGTGAGTTGATTCTACAAGAGTTATAGCCTTTGCTAAACAGGCCCTTTGCCCTTGGATTAAACCAGTATAAAGTTTATCCACAAATCTTTGCTCTTTATCACAAAGTCCTTCTGTGTGGTCCTTTAAGGTTGTTTGTACACATAATTTTCTCTTTAAACCATCTGACAGTAGCATCCACTTTGTACAATGGAGTCCAAGAGAATTAAATGGCCCAGCAGATGAGATTCCTGATCCGAGATGAGTCTGTGAGTGAAAGATGAAGTGGTAACATCGGAAAGGTGCTCGTAAAAGGCCTTTTAGGAAAAGCTGGTGAGGATGTGGTAGCAGCATGGGCATATTCGTTTTATTTGTAACTGAAGAAAACACTGGGTGCGTTTTGGCTCAATGTGATTTGTGACCTTCCTAGAAAGAAAAACATGTTAGCCAGTTCAACATATAACTAAAATAATGAAGTAGTAAAATTTGAAAGCATAGTGTTTCCCCCATATTCTAAACCACACCTAATCAGAGATTTTGGTGGTAAAAATGGGTGAAAGTTTTCATACTAAATAAAACAGAAGAATCCCTTTATGGTCACAGTTAATATTCAGAGTAACTAAAATAATGGAACTACTACTCTACTGCGAAGTGGAATTTACATTAAAATTTTCTTCTAATAAAAACTGAATATATAGAATACCACCAGGGTAGAAACTTTATGTTATGCCTTCTCTTACATTCATCTTAACAGTTTCCTCAGGTCAATACACCAGATTCTGAAGCTCATATGAGAGGTTTTAAAAAAATGAATCTCTCTGATGCTGGCCTTGTATTCATTTTCTACAAAAGGAAATGTGATTACTAGGGTGGGCACTTCAGGCGTAAGTTTAGACACATTCAACAGACTCACTCTTGAACACAGATGTATGCAAAGAGGAGCCTAACCTAAAGCACACAAACAAGCCATAAATGAATCGTAGGAGTTGTGTAGTAACCAGATCAGTGTATCTCAAAGTATAGTCAGAGCCATGTGGGTGTTTATTTAAAATGCACATTCCCAGCCCCACTAATCAGAATCTCTGTAGATTTACACTAATGTTTGAAACACTACGAAATTAAATAATAATCTTTTTATGATGGCATACTGATATTCTCTACTTCAAATTGTATTAAAGAATGAAAGTTGACATGGTATGCCGAGTCAGGGCAGTGCAGAGGTTATGAGCCATGGTCACTATGAGTCTCTGCTACTTAAGCCAAAATGAACTTGGGAAAGTTACTTGACCAATCTGTGCCTCAGCTTCCTCTGGAGTAAAGAGAAAGCAGGGTGGTTGTGAGAGCAAAAGGACAATTCTTGTAAAAAGCTTACAACAGGGCCGGGCGCGGTGGCTCAAGCCTGTATCCCAGCACTTTGGGAGGCCGAGGCGGGTAGATCACGAGGTCGAGAGATGGAGACCAACCTGGTCAACATGGTGAAACCCCATCTCTACTAAAATACAAAAAGTCAGCTGGGCATGGTGGCGTGTGCCTGTAATCCCGGCTGCTCAGGAGGCTGAGGCAGGAGAATTGCCTGAACCCAGGAGGCGGAGGTTGCGGTGAGCCGAGATCGAGCCATTGCACTCCAGCCTGGGTAACAAGAGCGAAACTCCGTCTCAAAAAAAAAAAAAAAAAGCTTACAACAGTGTCTACAACGGAGTAAGAGCTCAATTAACCTTAGTTTTTATTTTAATTACATCAAGTTATGAAACACTGGTAATTCTTCCAGTAGCAAACTAAAATTTACAGTTAAATATAACTCACTCAATTTGGGTTTATGAGTATTTGTAAACTGTGGTTGATTTTCAAGCACCTTGTGGCATGACAGAATAAATTATTGCTCCAAGATCCACCTCTACGTGGTACTTAAAGGCCAATGAACATAAAATTAATTTTAGCTACTTAACATTCTATTAGGGAGAAAGAATACTTTAAGATTTTTTAAACTGGTAGAACTATAAATGCTCATCAGTTTTCCAAAAACAACAACATTTTTTTTTCTATTTAGGGGGTGCATTACTAATGTCTATTTGTACAAAACTAGCATTATTCTAAAAGGACAATTAAAAATGTATAAAAGTTTTTCTAAAAAATAATTTTAAAACATCTACTATCACCTTTCACACAAACACACAAAAAGATATTCAAAACAGAAATTTAATAGAGAGTCTGTTTTAGACGCTCTCTTTCAATACCACCTTTAAGTACAATTCTCATCAATACCACTGCCACTACCAGCAGACTGGAAGCTCATAGGCAAGAACTGTATTTTTATTCAACCACAATTTTCTTAGTACATACTACTTTTCAGATTCCATGATAGGTGATAATAATAATGGTGACCATAGTAATGGTACTGATGGTGATGACAATAGTATTTGATTATGTTACAGCCATTGTACCATAACCTTCTACTAATATATTAGTTCCCCAGGGCTGCTGTAACAAATTACCATAATTACCATAACAGAATTAGTTACTTGATTACATTACAAAGACTCTTTCCAAACAGGGCCACATTCACAGGTTTCAGGGATTAGGATGTGGACATATCTTTTTGAAGGCCATCATTCAACCCGTTACACTCTCTTCGGTAGAATGCCTCATTCATTATCTTATCTTAACCTAATCCTAGCACTTAAAGAGCTCACAGAGTAAAATACACCACATCAAAGAAAGGACAAAGTGCTACGGGAACAGACAAGATTACAGAAACTTACTCTCCTTGGGGAATTCAAGCCATAGAGGAGTCTATGTCAAGACTGAGTCTGAAATAACAAAAATGTTGAAGAAGGTTGAGGCAGGCTTTCCAGGCTGAGGACCTAAATGTGCAAAATCAGAGTTGGGACTTGGTCTCGTCCCTGTCATGTCAGAGAAAACTGAGAAATTCAGTAAGGCAGAAGCCTAGGGTATATGGAACAACTCATAGGAGATAAGGTTGGACCGGATGTAAACTGAGGTCAAGAAATTAAATTTTGTCTTGTAGGCAGTGGACAAATGACAGAGACTTTTATGGAGGTGACATAATTAACTTTGCTTTTGAAGAGATAACTCTAGAAGCAGTGGCATGAAGTCAAGAGTGATGCGACTTTTTAACAGAGCCCAGTTAAGGAAGCCTAGCAAAGGAGATGATGAGGACCTGGACTTAGGAAAGGTATTAAGGAGTGGAAAAGAAAAGCTGATTTAAGACCTTTTAACCTAGTTTATCTTGTTAGAATCCTCAAAGTTTGACATGGACCCTGGCACACTGCAACTGCTTAAATGAAAAGAAAAAAAGAGCTGCTGCTGATCTGAACTTATTTCATTCTCCAAATACCTGGCACATGAGAGTCTACAAGCTACTTTCGGATCCTTTATTTCACTTTATTCTCCAGTTAATTCCATGAGGGCAGTACAGCAGTTATTATTCTCACTTAACAGAGGGGGAAATGAACCCAGAGAGTTGAGTGATTACAGTCACAGCCAGCGGCAGGGCCAAAATTCAAACCCAGGTTGTTTGATTCTCTATGGCAGGCATTCCTTAATAAATTATGTTAAAATAACAGAGAAGTCCTTTGGCTAAAAGGGAAGTAGATATTAGTAACTCTGCCCACTTCTGAAGTGAGTAAGAAGTATTTTCAGTTGCAGTGATGGTGGTGGCATGAGGAGGAGCCAAAGAACAGACAGAAGAAATCTGCAGGATATAAAACATTCTTAATATCAAATCTAGTCCTACTGACCCATAAGGGAGATGTTGTCATATGAAGTCTAAGAGCAAATTAGAGCTATTTAACATTTGCTCCTTAATTAACAAGTCTTACCATGACTACCTCCTGTTACCAAACAAGTTCAAAAAAAGAGTGAGAGAGGTGGCCAGGGGCGGAGCAAGATAGCAGAATGCAAGGCTCCACCAATCATCTTCTAGCTGGATTTAATTTCCTATCACTCAAAGAGGCACTGAAGAGGTAGGAAAAACTGTTTTGAATCCCCAAGGCCACTCCTCTCCCATTCCCTGGCAGCGGTGGCATGATACAGAGAGCATTTCTGTGCTCTGGGGAGAGGGAGAACATAGCAATTTTGAGGCACTGAACTCACTGCCACCCTGCTACAGCAGAAAGCAAAACCTGAACAAAGTCACTGGACACCGCACACGGAAGGAACATTTAAACGATTAAACCAGCCAGAAAGGAATGGCTGTTCCCAGCGGTCGGAACTTGAGTTCCCTGAGCTCACACAAGCCTTGCCACTGTGGGTTAAAGTGCTCTAGTGCCCCAAATAAACTTTAAAGGCAATCTAAGCCACAAAGACTGCAACTCCTAGGTAAGTCCTAGTGTTAAACTGAGTCAGTGGACTAGGGGGAACACAACCCAATGACACACCAACCCGGGCAGTGAAGAGAGTGTTGGCATCGCTCCTTCCCTAATCCCAGGCTGCACAGCTCATGGCTACAAAAGGACACCTTCCTTCTGCTTGATGAGAGGAAAGAAGAGTGGGGAGGACTTTGTCTTGCCTCTTGGATATCCTCAGCCACAGCGGGATGGGGTACCAGTTATAGTCATGAGGTTTCCCTTCTAGGCCCTAGGTCCCAAATGACATCTGTAGACACCCAGGGCCAGAAGGGAACTTGCTGCATTGAAGAAAAGGAGCCACTCCTGGCAGGATTCATCACCTGCTGACTGAAAAGCCCTTGGGCCCAGCAGCAATGCCAAGGTACCACATCGAGGGCCTTGGGTGAGACTCTGAGACTTGCTGGCTTCAGGTGACACTCAGCACATTCCACGCTGTAGCAGGTACAGGGCTAGACTACTGCTTGAGAAAAGCAAAGGGAAAAATAAAGGGGAATTTGTCCGGCATGTTAGGTACCAGCTTGGCCACAGTGGGGTAAAGAAACAAGTGGGCTCTTGGGGTCCCCAATTCCAGGACTTGGCTCTTAGATGGCATTTCTGGGCCTGCCCTGGGCCAGAGGGGAGCCAACTGCCCTGAAGGGTAAGTCCCAGGTCAGGCAGCATTCACACAAGCTGACCAAAGAGCCCCTGGACCTTAAGGGAACATCATCAACAGTAGTCTGGTAGTACTCTTTGTGGGCCTATGGTAGTAGCAGTCATGGGTGAGGTTCCTCTGTCTTTAGAAAAGGGAGAAAAGAGTGGAAAGGACACTGTCTTGTGGTTTGTGCACCAGCTTAGCCACAGTAGAACACAGCATCAAGTAGATTTCTAGGGTTTTTGACTCTAGGCTCTTACTCCTAGATGACATCTCTGGACTTGCCTAAAGCATGGGGGAACTTAACCATCCTCAAAGGAAGGACATAAGCCTGTGTGGCTTTACCACTTGCTGATTGCACAGCCCTAGGAATCTGAACAAACACAAATGATAAATAGTAGTTATAATGGGTCTTTTGTGAGACCCAGTGCTGTATTGGATTCAGGTCTTATTCAGTACATAGTGGTGGTGACCACAGCATTGCTTATATAACCCTATCCCCAGCTCTAGGTAGGTCAAAGCAAACAGAGACTCTATTTGGGAGAAAGCGTGGGAAGAAAACAAGAGTCTCTGCCTGGTAATCCAGAGAATTCTCCAGGATCTTACTCAAGAGCACCAAGGTAGTACCTCTATGAATCTGCAAGGACCATCGTGTTACTGGGTTTGGGGTGCCCCCAAATGCAGATATGGCTTAGATCAGAATGCCCAGGCGTTTTCAAATATTTGGAAAGCATTCCCAAGAAGGGCAGGTACGAACAAGCCCAGACTGCGAAGACTCTAATAAATACCTAATTCCTTAATGTCCATACACAGACAAATATCTGTAAGTATCAAGACCACCCAGGACAACATGACCAAAACCAAATGAACTAAATGAGGCACCACACCAATCCTGGAGAAACAGAGATATGTGATCTTTCAGACAGATAATTCAAAATAGCTGTTTTGAGGAAACTCAAAGAAATTCAAGAGATGGCTGAGTGTGGTTGCTCACACATGTAATCCCAGCACTTTGGGAGGCCAAGGTGGGTGGATCACTTGAGGTCAGGAGTTTGGGATCAGCCTGGCCAACATGGTCAAACTTCATCTCTACTAAAAATACAAATATTAGCCAGGTGTGGTGGTGGGTGCTGTAATCCCAGCTACTTGGGAGGCTGAGGCAGGAGAATCGCTTGAACCTGGAAGGTGGAGGTTGCCATGAGCTGAGATTGCACCACTGCAGTCCAGCCTGGGTGACAGAATAAACTCCATCTCAAAAAACAAAAAATGAAATTCAAGATACCACAAAAAAGGAATTCAGAATTCTATCAGATAAACTGAATAAGGAGATTGAAAGAATTTAAAAGAATCAAGCAGAAATTCTAGAGTTGAAAAATGCAACTGACATACTGGCAAATGCATCAGAGTCTCTTAAGACAGAATTGATCAAGCAGAAGAAAGAATTGGTGAGCTTGGGCCAGGCATGGTGGCTCTCACCTGTAATCTAAGCACTTTGGGAGGCCAAAGCATGCAGACGCCTTGAACCCAGTTTGAGACCAGCTGGGCAACATGGCAAAATCCCATCTCTGCAAAAAATATAAAAATTAGCTGGGTGTGGTGGCTGTAGTCCCAGTTACTCAGGAGGCTGAGGTGACAGGACTGCTTGAACTTTCACTGAGCCCTGATCACCCTGATCACACCACTATACTCTAGCCTGAGTGACACAGCAAGATCCCTATCTGCCCCATCTCCAAAAAAAAAAAAAAAAAAGATAAAGAATTAATGAGCTGAAGGTGGGCTATATAAAAATAAACAGGGAGAGAAGACAAAAGAGAAAAGAATAAAAAACAATGAAGCATGCCTCCAGGATCTAGCAAATAGCCTCAAAAGGGCAAATCTAAGAGCTATTGGCCTTAAAGAGGAGGTAGAGAAAGAGACAGATAAAATGTTTATTCAAGGGGATAACAGAGAACTTCCCAAACCTAGGGAAAGATATCAATAGTCAATACAAGAAGGTTACAGATCATCAAGCAGATTTAATTCAAAGACTACCTCAAGGCATTTAATAATCAGACTCCCAAAGGTCAAGGATAAAGAATAAATCCTAAAAGCAGCAAGAGAAAAGAAACAACCAACATACAATGGAGTTCCAATATGACTGGCAGCAGGCTTTTCAGTGGAAACTTTATAGGCCAGGAGAGAGTGGCATGACCTATTTAAAGTGGTGAAGGAAAAAGAAAAATCATGCTAAAATATCCTCCAAACATGAAGTAGAAATACTTTCCCAAACAAACAAAAGCAGAGAAATTTCATCAACACCAATTCTTTCCTACAAGAAATGCTAAAGAAAACACTCCAGTGAGAAAGAAAAGGATATTATTGAGCAGTAAGAAATCATCTGAATGTACAAAACTCACTGGTAACAGTAAGTATACAAAAGAACATTGTACCTGTGGTGTGTTAACTAGTCTTAAGTATAAAGACTAAACAATGAACCAATAAAAATAATAGCTACAACAACTTCTCAAGACAGACAGCATATAAGATATGAACAGAAACAACAAAAATTAAAAAGTGGGGAATTAAGGAATACTCTTTATTAGTTTTCTATTCACTAATTCTGTTTATCTATTCTATTTCTGTTTAAAGTGTTAGCTTGTTGACAGTTTAAAATAATGGGTAGAGAGACAGTATTTGCAAGTCTTACAGTAATCTCAAACATAAGAAAAAAAACATACAACAGATACACAAAAAATAAAAAGCAAGAAACTAAATCATTTCAGCAGAGAAAATCATCTTCACTATGATAAAGACAGGAAAGAAAAAAGGGAAGACCAAAAAACAACAAGAAAATAACAAAATGGCAGGAATAAGTGCTTAGTTATCAATAATAACATTAAATGTAAATGGACTAACCTCTCTAGTCAAAAAACGCAGAGTAGTGGATTGGATAAAAAAAATACAAGACCCAATGATTTGTTGCCTATAGAAAGCCCATTTCACTTTCTATAGGCAATAAAGACAAACATAGACTGAAAATAAAGGGATGGAAAAAGTTATTCCAAAAAAGAACTTTTTTGGAAACCAAAAAAGAAAAGGAGTAGCTATAATTATATCAGACAAATAGATTTCAAGACAAAAACTATAAGAAGAGACAAAAACGGTCACTAAATAGTGACAAAGGGTTTAATATGGCAAGAAGATATAACAATTTTAAATCTATATGTACCCAACCATGGAGCACCCAAATATATTAAGCAAATATTATTAGACCTAAAGAGATAGACCCAAATACAATAATAACTGAAGACTTCAACATTCCACTTTCATTATTGGACATATCTTCAAGACAAAAAATTAACAATAAAACATCAGACTTAATCTGCACTACAGACCAAATGGACCTAATAGCTATTTACAGAACATTTCATAAAATGGCTGGGGAAAACACATTCTTCTCTTTGGTACATGGATCATTCTCAAGAATAGACCATATATTAGCTCACAAAAAAGTCTTTAAACATTCAAAAATTTGAAATAAGATCAAGCATCTTCTCTAACCACATTGGAATAAAACTAGAAATCAATAACAAGAAGAATTTTGGAAACTAACAAACATATGGAAATCAAACAATATGATCCTGAATGAACAGTGAGTCAATGAAGAAATTAAGGATATTGAAAAATGTCTTGAAACAAATAATAATGGAAACACATCATACCAAAACCAATGGAATACATCAAAAGCAGTACTAAGAGGGAAGTTTATAGCCTTAAGTGACTACATTTAAAAAGAAGAAAAACTTCAAATAAACAATGCATCTTAACTAGAAAATCAAGAGCAAACTAAGGAAAAAAGAGATTAGATCCAAATAACCAAATAAATAAAAGTAGAGATGAAAAAGGAGACATTACAACTGACACTGCAGAAATTCAAAGGATCATTAGTGCTTATGGTGAGCAAGTATATACCAATAAATTGAAAACATCTAGAAGAAATGGATAAATTCCTAGACATATATAACCTACCAAGATTGAACAATGAAGAAATCCAAAACCTGAACATACCAATAACAGGTAATGAAATTGAAGCTGTAATAAAAAATCTAATAAAGCCTAGGACTCAATGGCTTCACTGCTGAATTCTATCAAGTATTTAAAGAACTAATACCAATCCTTCTGAAACTATTCTGAAAAACAGAGGAAAAGGGAATACTTCCAAATTCATTCTATGAGGCCAGTATTACTCTTACACCCAAACCAAAGACAATCCCGCCCCCCCCCCGCCCCCCTCCCCGGCCAGAAAAAAAAAATTCTACAGGGTTAAGGTTTGGCTCTGAGTCCCCACCCAAATCTCACCTTGTAGCTCCCATAATTCCCACATAATACCACAGATCAGTGGTATTATGGTGCTTTTATGTTGTTTTTTGGCCGACCATATTTTTCTATTTTTTTTTTTTAAAGCAGCATGTTACTACGAGGGACCCAGTGGGAGATTATTGAATTATGGGGCTGGGTGTTTCCTGTATTGTTCTCCTGATAGTGAATGGATCTCATGAGATCTGATGATTTTAAAACAGGAGTGTCCCTGCACAAGCTCTCCTTCTCCTGCTGCCATCCACATAAGATTTAACTTGCTCCTTCTTGCCTTCTACCATGATCTTGAGACCTCACCCAGCCATGTGGAACTGTAAGTCCAATTAAACCTCTTTTGTAAACTGTCCAGTCTGGGTTATGTCTTTATTAGCAGCATGAAAATGAACTAATACAAGGCTAGTATTCTTTTGAATACTAAAGAGAAAAATAATACTATTCTTCTGAATACTAGCCTCTAGTATTCTTTTTTTGTTTTATCTTTGGTTTTGGTATCAGAGTAATACTGGCCTGATAGCAAAAAGATCATGGCCAAGTGGGGTTTATCCCTGTGAAAGAAGGATGGTTTGACATATACAAATCTATCAATGTCATACATAATATCAACAGATGAAAGACAAAAAGCTACAAGCATTTCAATTGACACTGAAAAAGCATCTGATAAAACTCACCATTCCTTCGATGTTTAGATGTCATTTAAATCCATGAGACCAGATTACTAAAAAAGGGATTCAAGATTAAGAGGAAGTGTGACACCTTTTTCAAAAAATTTTAAACATACATTGACACCCTCCCGCTATACACACACACAGAAGAAATAAATATATCGATGGGTATGTAACCTCATCTACAGATCAGTGGTATTATGGTGCTTTTATGTTGTTTTTTGGCTGACCATATTTTTCTATTTTTTTTTAAAGCAGCATGTTACTATGACAGGCACAACAATGGTTTCCCAAACATGTCCACACCTGAATCCCTGGAACCTAAGAATATGTTATGTTACGTGGCAAATAGGGAATTAAAGTTGCAGATGGAATTAAAGTTGCTAATCAGCTGACAAGGTAAAAAGATTTATCTTAGATTATCCAGGTGGACACAATGTAATCACCAATATCCTTTAATATGAAAGTGGGAGGTAGAAATGAACGGCTGAGTAATATCATGTGAGGATTCAATCCACCCTTCAGGGCTGTGAAGATGGAGTAAAAGGGCCATGAACCAAGCAATGAGGACAACCTATAGAAGCTGGAAAAGGCAAGGAAACTGATTCTCCTCTAGATCCTATCAGGTGGAATGAAGACCTCCTGACACCATGATTTTACTCCAGTGAGACCCGTGTCAGACTTCTGACCAACAGAACTATAAGATAATAAATCTGTGTTAAGACACTAAGTTTGTGGTAATCTATTACAGGAGCAATAGAAAACCAATACAGTGGTATGGTAAGAAAAAGTAAATAAAAACAAAAATCTTTTTTAAAAGATAAAATTCAGAATTTTAAAAATTTAATAAGAAATATCTAATAACTACTTATGAATTATAATCTTTGCCATAACCTGTAACTTGCTTCCTTTTGCATTTAGATTTTTTCCTAACATCAGAGTCAAACTTGATGAATGCTTAATTTTACCAGTTATGTGACTATCAGTGTTACATCAAATGCATTCATATGTTTCTAAATTAGATATAAAGTCAACATATATACTAAAAAAAATTGTAAAAAGAATTATGTGCAAGGTGAAATAAGCAATAATCACAATTTACCTTTTCGTCTATGAACAGATATTTTATCAGAATCATCATGTTAAATTTGAAGTTCAAAAAAATTCTGAAATAACATGATATATATGAGATAGTAACCATTTTTGAGCATGGTAATATTTTTTAACTATATATATGCTGTAATAAAAACTAGGTATCTGTAATGCATGTCCTTCACTTTTTTGCTGACAAATGCCTACTCAGTTCAAATAGCAGCTCCTCAGAGATACATCTTCCCACACCTTATCCAGGCAGTTAAGTGTTCCATTCAATGCTCCACAGTCTTTTGTTCATCTGAGAAATAGTATTTGTCTTCTTGTCTTCTAATTTATCTGTTTATAGACTTCTCCCTACCAATTCTCATTGCTCATCTCAACTGATTCTCCCAGAGAAAGGGCATATTTCCTCAGAAACAAGCACAGTGCCTGGCACACATAACCTTCCAATATTTTTTTAGGTTCACGAATATATACTCTATCTACTCTATGTTAATCTACTAAACCATAAGGAAAAGTTTGGGTAACAATATTAACCTGTGTGACTGAAGGACCTTTACTGAAACTTTCTGCCTTCTAAGTTTCCTGTTTTGAATCAAGGCACCTTTGACATATAACCAATCTTCTAAACAGAAAAATGCTAAGAAAAGGTTTTGCAAGAAATCAAAATTTAGAATGAAAAGCTTTACTAGATGAAAATATGCCCATTTATAATAATGTAAGCAAATACTCTCTAAATAAATATTATAGATGGCTGTAACATTAAAAATAGTGGTTTCATACATCAATTTAATTGCAATTTTTCTTAGAAAATCTACACCAACTGTCTGATGAGCTTATGATTTTTTTCTTTTTTAAGATGGAGTCTCGCTCTGTCTCACCCAGGCTGGAGTACAGTGGTACAATCTTGGTTCACTGAAGTTTCTGCCTCCCAGGTTCAAGTGATTCTCCTGTCTCAGCTTCCCAAGTAGCTGGGATTACCGGCGTGTGCCACCACACCCAGTTAGTTTTTTTGTATTTTTAGTAGAGATGGAGTTTCACCATGTTGGCCAGGCTGATCTCAAACTCTTGACCTCAGGTGATCCACCTGCCTCTGCCTCCCAAAGTGCTGGGATTACAGGTGTGAGCCACCATGCCCAGCCTGATAAGCTTATGATTTACACTGCAGGTTTTATCACAATTTGGGATAACTCTTCTCTGCCTTCTGATGCCAATACAAATCTTAAAAGGACTTTCAGTGAAAAGAAAGAATCACACAAAGGATGATACCATCTTACTCCAATTCTTTTGCCAAAACCAAAAAGCTACCCAGATGTACGTAATTGTGGTTTTTGACATCCTCAAACTTCTTCCCAGGGGACTAATTTTCTTGGTTCCCCCCAACTCTCTGGACCATCTGACTGGCAAGCAGCAGCTGCCACCTTCTATTGAGTGTTTATTATATGTGAGGCATCGTGCATGCATTTTTTTCAGCTAAACCTCACAACAATCCTCCACTGGATGACATCCTATTTTAAAAGTGAGGCCCAGCAGCATGAGGCTGATTCATCAGGGCCTCACAACTAGTGGCAGAAACTGGGAAAATTTATGGATTTCATAAATCCAGATTTATACGGTGTCAACTCTAGAGAAAATAAAATAATCCTGTACTTTTGAACATGCCTGATTATGGGTGGCAGTTTATCTTTTTATTTATTTTTTGCTTAGGCCAAAATGAAAAATTAATTTCTATCTTCGGTGTGAAGTTTTGTATCAGTAAGAGATCTCAATAATGTGTAAGGTGACAGAACAGACCACATTTTAAAGTATTTTTTGCTCCACAGACAATAATTCACTCCTGATAACCAAGTTCATAATATATTTAACCCCATGAATTTATCCAATCAACCAGATTTTAAAGCAGCCCATAAATTTTTTAAAAGCCAGTGTAACTCAGCCTTGTATGAGCAGCTTTCTACCCTTATGTATGTCACAGGCAGAACAGACTAATTCCACTAAAATGGCAAAATCATGTAAGTAGAGAGGATTTCCTATCTGCTCTTGTAACTCAGCATCTTTTCCTGCTTTCTCATGAAAAGAAATCAAAGAACTTGATCAATAATCTAATCAGCTTTGGGCCCTAGGTTTGTGTGGGGCCATGTCTCAGTCCACCCAAGGTACCCTTAGATCATTCAGAGAGGCACTTGGCCTGGAGCAGTGAGAAGAAGGAATAACTTCCAAGACCAGAGTGGCAGCTCCAGTAATAGAGAAATCCTTTTGAGGTGTAGAGATGCACGGAGGGACTGGGAGCTTGCTATTGGTGGAGTTCTCCAGGCTGAACAGCAAATTAAAGATAACTTGCAAGAGGTCAAAGCTCAGATTCACAGTTGCATAAGCCATTACCTGGAATGTCTTAGACACCGTAAGTGTGGCTATATGAACAGGTAGACCTCATCTATAAGCTTAAAGAGGAGACATTTCAACAGCAGGCTCAGCAGCTCTACTGGCTATTGGGCCAGTTCAGTTGTCTTACTCATCAAAAGGAGTGTACCCAAAACAAAGCTCTAGCTAATCGAGTCTCTGTGTGCCTGGAAGACTGGGCAGTTTGACCCTTAAACCTGAAGATTCCACTGTCCTGCTCTTTAGCTGACACAACTGCTTTGCACCACACCATCACCACATTTGGGTCTCCCCAAACCATTCAAATTCCTGAGCACTTGATGGCTCATAGTTCACCAAATACTGGGCCCTTCCTGGAGAAGAGAGGCTATATTCCAATGCCAGAGCAGAAGTCAGCATCCAGTATTGCAGCTGTCTCCCTCAGTCAATGACTTCTTGGAAGCAACCTGCCAGTGGTCATCAGACTCCTTACATACCCAGCACCAATAAAAAAAAATTGATTCTTTATTGGTTCACCCAACAGCAGACCTTGGAGAATAATCAGACTTCTTCCAGAGCCTGCAATTTCTTCAGTAATGTCTGGGGAAATCTAAAGGACTTAGAAAACTGGCTCCTGAAGAATCAGCAACAGGAAGTTCCTAAAAAACCAGGTTATCAAAAGCGTAATAGCCATTCCACTACTAGTTCCTTCTCCACTGAAAAGGTTGAAGATCTAGAGCTTCCTAAGCAAGATGAGATGGACCTATCACATTGGCTGGTGACTCCCCAGAAATCCCATCAGCTGGGGAAGCCTGAGAATGGCAGTCGTGAAATCAGTGAGAAGTTTAAGCTCTTGTTCCAGTCCTAAATGTGAATGATTGGCTTGTCAAGACTGACTCCTGTACCAACTGTCAGAGAAAACAGCCCAAAGGTGTGGAGATTGAAAACCTGGGCAATCTGAAGTGCCTGAATGACCACTTGGAGGCCAAGAAACCACTATCCACCCCCGGCATGGTTACAGAGGATTGGGTTGTCCAGAATCATCATGACCCATGTAAGGTAGAGGAGGTGTGCAGAGCCAATGAGCCCTGCACAAACTTTGGCTGTGTGTGTGAAGAGAATTGTGAGAAGAAGGTTCTGTATAAGTGGCTTCTGAAGAAAGAAGAAAAGGATAAAAATGGGATGCCCGTGGAACCCAAATCTGAGCCTGAGAAGCATAAAGATTCCCTGAATATGTGACTCTGTCATTCTGGAAAAGAATAGAACAAACTAAAGCACCAAAGGCAATGGTTCCTTCTAGAATTGCTGATTCCTTCCAACTCATAAAGAACAGCCCCTTGAGTAGCTTATCAGGCCCCCATGCAAAGAAGGAAGTCTAAGGAAGTGCCTAGTACTGAAGACAGAGCTGGCAAACAAAAGCTTAAAAGTCCCATGACAACTTCCTGGTGTCCCTTTAACACAGCTGACTAGGTCCTGCCAGAAAAGAAGATGGCCAACCTCAGCAGTTATCCTCTGGAGAAGACAAGTGGCTGCTTCGAAAGAAGACCCAGGAAGTATTACTTAATTCACCTCTATAGGAAGAACATAACTTCCCCTCAGACCATTA